CGCCCCAGCTGCTGTACCACAGGCGGCCGGAGCAAAGCCGCGGAGCACGGGGGCAGCGGGACAGCCCAGACGCGTCTGGGCTGTCAGCTGGCCGCGCGTTCCGCCGCCGCTTTGCTTCCTCTCCCTGGTCTGCTCGAGACCAGGGAGAGGAAGTGCCCCGTTCGTAACTGCGGATCCGACGTAAGTCGGATCCGCGTAACTCGGGGACTGCCTGTACAGTAATATGTAGTTTGAACATGGAAGAGGAGAAACATGAGAATTTAAAGCATGAACAACAATGCCTTCCAGTTGTATGCAAGTTTTCATTCTGAAGAACTCCAAAGTGCACTTCAAAAATGTTTAGGCCTCTGAAATGCAGCCAAATCTGGGTTGAAAGGTGGCAGCCACCAGCAACAGCCGTGTGGAGAGAGAATATTCCTAAACAAGAGAATCTCTTACTCTTACTTACTAATCATTGTATGAAATCATTAAGTCCCTATACAGAGTAGACAACACTTGGGGTTTGTTTTGGTTTTGTTGGGGTCACTGGGCATGATCCTAGGTTACTCGGGGGAGTGGAAGATCACAAGGATCGATGAAGCCCCCCCGCTCTAGGCCCAAGCACCCTAACCCCCCCTCCCCCCCCCCAGGCATAACTTTTCTATAGCTCGCTAACAGCTGGGAACAGCAAGACCTTGAAGTTGCCTAGTTACTATCAGTGATATAGAAGAAGAATTCAGATGTGTTTCTGTAGAGGGAGGGGAGGAGGAGGAGGGGGGACTGGCAGCATGTCCCAGCATGGGAAACTTGCTACAGTTCACTATTTTCCTTCAAGTAAACAACCTGGGTATATAAGGAGGGAAAACTGCTTACGTTGGTGTGCTTGATTTGAGATGTCTGGTCTCCTCGCACCTATTTGAACGTTCAAATAAACTTTTTTTGCTTCTCCACACCAGTGTGTTTATTGGGAGCGCGCACACCGGGCAACGAACCCAGCTGTTGCCCCCCTTGGGCACTGTGTGCCGGCAACAGTTTGTTTCTTTAAGGTCTCTTATCCTAAATCCGTGGTTCTCAAACTTTTTGTCCTGCAGCCACTCCGCTCACTACAGACCACCAGCCAACCAGTCTTGAGGACAATATAGGTGCAGGAGCAGGCTGAGGGCAGGAGGATGCAGGAGCGGGTGAGAGTGTGGGGGTCTCGGCAGGAGGCAGATGGGGGGCGCCTATTTGGCTCTGTGCCTCCCACTACTCCCAGGCACTGCCCCCCACTGCTCACTTTGGCTGTGATTCCAGCCAATGGGAGCAGGGGGGAAGACTCCAGGTGAGCAATTTCCTACACTGCTGTTCCCCCAACTGAGGGCTAGGGGGAGCAGCAGCACATGGAGCTGCTTCCTTCTCCGGCAAGCCTTATCTGGCCCACAAGGCTCACACCCTCCTGCAGGAAGCCACTGCTGGCACTCTAACCATGTGGAGAGGGGGCACGGGGCTGGAGCGCCAGAGCAGGGAGGCAAGCCCGGAGCCCACGGTCAACCTGCAAGATACACTGAGAACCGCTGTCCTAGGCCAGCACACTGTGGAATGCATAGTTATCTGCCTCATTCGGAAAGCAGTAGGGAGACTCTGGAGTTGAGCGCTTGCAATGGGAAGAGGTTGTGGAAGAGAAACTTACATGGCAAGATGGGTGGAAACAGCAGGAGTCACATGGCACACATGCTGTTTGTGATTCATAAAGAAAATATCAGAGGGGTAGCCGTGTTAGTCTGAATCTGCAAAAGCGACGAAGAGTCCTGTGGCACCTTATAGACTAACTGAAGTGTAGGAGCATAAGCTTTCGTGGGCAAAGACCCACTTCGTCAGATGCATGTGGCATGTGACATGCATCTGACGAAGTGGGTCTTTGCCCACGAAAGCTTATGCTCCTACACTTCAGTTAGTCTATAAGGTGCCACAGGACTCCTCGTCGCTTTTGCAGATCCTCAAAGGCATTTAAGTGCCTAACATCCACTGAAAACCATAGGAGAAGAAAATAGTAATTTTATACCATCTCGGTAGTGTCCAAATATACATAGCCACGGGATATGGGAGCTCAGACCTATTTGCCAGTGTGACAGAAATCAGCTCAATGTCAGGAATGCATTAAAAGCCTCTATTTAACCCTTGCCTAGATATAACTGGACGTGGACAACAGTTGTAATCTTTGCACGGCTTGGTGTGGTGTAAAAATAGTTCTGTGATTCTTTCCCCATTAAAAAGCGATAGCACCACAAAGCTGCAAAATGTAATTCTTGTTAAAAAGAACTGTGGGTTAAAAAAAGGCCTGCTTTAAATAATCATTGTGAAGCATCCAGAAAAAAACATGTCTCTAGTAATCATTGATTGCGTTTTCATGCTAACGGATCCCAAAACAATTTACAAACTTCAACTCTATTCTGATCAATCTACAGCCAAGGATTCCTTTGTCCCCAGTGGAAATGCACCTGCCACTGGGGTGAAATGCACCAGCTGTCTGACTGTGCCCAGCAAGGCCACATAGTAGTTAAGGACTGAAAGTGAAGAATGTTCCTGCATCTCATTGAAACAGCAGGGGAATTTGAGTAAGCAGACCGTAATTACTTGTGTTAATGTGCCCTGGGGTCTTTCTAAATCTGTATAAATGACCCCTCCTAGCAGCAGAACGTCTCCTAATGCAGTGGTGGACAGCCTGCAGTCGGGGGCCTCATGCAGCCCATCGGGGTTCTATGTGTAGCCCACGAGACATTTTGTTTACTGTTGCCAATGGGCAGGGTTGCCAGATTCTGCTGGTTTCCATCCATGTAGGTTTTTTCCTACCAGTAATACTGAAGTGTCATGCAAATAAAGCAAGGGCATGGGAAGTCAGGTGCATGCTAATTGCACACAACATTGACTGTACGAGCCGTGTACTCTCTCTGCAGCCAATCAAAGTGCTGCTACGGATCAGTCAGCACATTCTTGGTAAGCAAGTGCAGTTAGCAAAACTGCCCTATCCTGAGAGAGCATCTGGATTGCAAGAATCTTGTGGCTCACTGAGCTGAAGGAGGACCACTCATGCAGCCCACTCTCTAGCGTCGGTTGCCCATCGCTGCTCTAATACCATGCTATGATGTTGCTTGATTACTGGCTGCTGCTGGCCTGATGAGAAACTGTATCTGAACAAACTGAACCTTTGGGAAAGTACAGTTCTGCATAGTGCAGCTCAGACCCACCTCTAGCAGTGATTCAAAGGGAAGAAGGATTCTTGTTGGATCAACTCTAAGACAGAGCTATTTGGCGGTAAACTAAAAAGAGCTTTCCAGCTCACAAGGCTGCCTTTCTAGGACAGGTTGAAATGTATAAAAACGCTCGTTCACATCAGAAGATGCATTTATGTATTGGAATATGGAAATGGTAAGACAAATGGTGACTTTATTATTTTGGGAGTTATTATTTTGAATTTAGTTACTTCAAAATAATTTCCTAGTGTAGACATGCCCAGAGAGGACTCTGATAAATGGAGCCCTGCATGGACAGAAAATTTGGATCCACAACCCACAAACATGGTCCAGGAGTTTGCAGGCTTCTATCAATAACTGGTAAAAGTCTCTCCTAATGCTTTGCAGCACCAGTTGGTAGTCAGAACAGGGCTGTGTTTTCAGGGGCACAAATATGCATATATAGCACATAACCAACTCAGCATAGAATTAGCAAACCTTGTTTTGAGAATGTATAATATGAGTGCATTTTAAAAAAGATAAATCACAGAATAACTTTTTTCAGCTGAATCTTGGCACTGTTAAAACTTGTCTGTCCTTCGGGAATGCACTGCTCTTTGCTACGTTAAGGAAAAATCCTGTGCAAGGCATACAGATAGAATACATTCCACATGCTTAGGAATTTGGGCCTTAATTCTTACTCCAGAGCATGATATAACCTGCAAAAAAGGCAAAGCTGTAACATCATAACAACCCTACTACCATGCTGAATCTTCTGGACTGAGGTAAATGCAAAGATTCTCTGTGTGACTGCTGGGTTTGCAATTCAGAATGTGGATAAACCCCTTTCTTCCAGTTGCCAACTAACTGTGTAAACTGGTAACTGTGCTTCAGTTAGAATGTTAGTTTCTCCTGCTGTGGTCATGTTGTGACTTTTTTTTAATGACTAATTTCATATTGCATATTTTTACAAAGGTGAGGTACTTTACCTACTATATCTATGAAGAGTGTACAGATAGCAGACTGTGTTTCACATGCTGAACCTTTGGGTGATGTGTTGCCATGGGGAGAAGAAAGAACCTTGCAGAGATCATAAATCCCTATCCCTTCTGGGCTGGAAACACCACTGATGTGTAATGCCAGCCTCCCAGAGAAAAGGGGCTGTAATTTAGAGAATATTTATATGACTAATAAGCCAAGTGTGACAGGGTGCCTGCCCTGCACTGGCCCTTTAAGACCAGGACTCAGGCCCGGAGCCGGGGCTAGAAAGAAAGAAGCCAGCTGGAGCTATTTGGGGCTAGGGAGAGCCCAGCTGGCAAGCAACTAGGGCAGCACTAGTGGCTTTTTGAAAAGTGAGAGCCCAGCTGACAAGGATCCAGCACAGCACTAGTGGCTTGTAGAAGCCAGCTGTAATCATTAGGGTGAGTGTGAGCCCAGCTGGGAGGTGTGTATATATAGAGAAGCCCGGGTTGCTTGAGGGGGGAGCCAGTGGAGAGCTGACCGCAGAGGAGGCAGGAGTTCCCTGGGAGGGAGACAAGCTGGGGATAGCCAGCAATAGCTGGAAGAGGGCCAGCCAAGACTCCCCTGGCTAGGGGCTGGAGGCAAAGCCCTGGTTTGGAGGTGGACCCTGATACAGCCTAGGTAAGCAGGGCAGTTGAGACAACCCTGATGCCTATGATGAGCAACCCATACAGACTGTAACTTGCCCTGAGAGGGGCTATATGAGGACAGTCAGGGGGCACTGAGGTGCACTGGGGGTGTGAACCCCCTGACACCAAGTATAGGTCCTGAACACATTTCTGATTTACTTACTGTGTTGGTCACTTCGGTCCCTTGTCCCATCTACTTTGCCATCTGGATGTATCCTCAAGAAGTAGCCTCCATTGCTGCAATATAAGAGTTTGGGATTCTTGTAATTCCCCAGGGGAAGGTTGAATTTTTCGGTCAGGGCGGTGAACGTTGTTATTTCCCCTTCAGCCATCTCTCAGTCTCTCCCAGTGGCACAGCTTCCAGTCTGTAGGAAATGTAACAGCTTCTAGCAGTAATGGCCACAAAGTGCACAGCACATTTCTTGCCCCCAGGGCAGGGAAGGATCCTAGACAGGCCCAGAGGAGTTGCTGACAGTTGCTCAGCCCAGCCTCTGCAGGTAATTTGCTCAATGGACAAATGTGCAAAACACTCATTAAAAAACCCACAAGAGCTCAGAGTCAGACCTGCTGATGGGGTGGGGGATAAAGAGGGCATTTTCCTGGAGCCTGACGATTCAAAGGGCAGCGGTGGCAATGGCAGCCAGAGTCCTGGACCCATTAAAATGCTGCCAGAGTGCTGCCTTGTGCTCTTCAGGAGGCTCTGAGGGCTGGCGGGGGAGGGGCATGCCACAGTCTGGGCAGTGTGGAGGACTGGCTATCCTGGCCCTGCCCCTACCCCTTCCAGCTAAGGCCCTGCCCTTTCTGGGAACACAGAGCTGTCCCTGCACCTTCTCCAGGGGCCTGATGGAGGCTGCCGGTGCCCCTGTTAGAGTTAATGACTCTCACTCTGCTCCTAAGCTATTCTGACCAAGTTTTGCAACACTCACTGAGTACGATGTTGTAGGACATGCTGCTTTGGACCGCCACACTAACATAGCACACAACTGGTAACAGAACAGGAACTAGGTACCTCAGGGGACTGGTAATGGGAGCTGAATCCTTCTCACTCCTTGGGCACCAGTTTGGAGAGAGCTCAGGTGGACAGGACGAGGCGGTATACCTGCTTGGTGATCTACAGTAGATAATGCGAGGTGGTTGGGTTGGGCCCCGTGTTCACTGAACGAGTGACTGTCACATTATTGTAACCATCGCCACCCTTGGTATCAAGGTTCAGCAAACATGTTGAAGACTAAGGGCCAAGTCCTCAGCTAGTGTAAATAGGTGCAGTTTTACCTCAGCTCAGGGTTGGCATTCAATGGGTCTGGCGAGAAAGAAATACCCTCAAATTGGCTTTTCTGGGGAGAGCTACAGAACATTTGTCCTGCCTTTCCCAGTGGTTTGAGCATTAGCCTGCTAAACCCAGGGTTGTGAGTTCATTTAGGGATCTAGGGCAGATCTGTCAGGGATGGTACTGGGTCCTGCTGTGAGGGCAGGGGACTGGACTTGATGACCTCTCAAGGTCCCTTCCAGCTCTATGAGATTGGAATATCTCCAGTGCTGTACCTGTTCCTTGGATAGAGGACTTTGGTCACCCATGCTGATAATCTGGCACCTTTCATAAAACATTCTGAATAAACAATTCTGGGAGTTCACATGCTAGGCAAAGAAGCACTCCTGGAAAAGGGCTTTAGGAAATAAATGTTTGCTACATTCTGATATCAGTGTCACACATTCTTTTTGCTTTTAAAGGTACATAGGAGGAGTTGCTGACACCCATTTTAGCTAAATGTAATGTTCAGAACCAAAGGCATTTGAACTGCATCAGAATCAGACACCACGATGCTCTTCACAGTGGAGATGCTGACAAGGTCCATAATTCTCCAGACCAGGGCATTAGATTAGCAGATGCCACAGCCCATAAACTCTCAACTAACGTACAAGGACCTAGGCAGTTGCATTGACTACTATCGGCTTGGTCTATTTTTACTGCTTGGCAGTTGTGCCCCGCTGAAGTTACAGTACACCACAGGCTTATCTGGCTCACGTTTGCCAGTGTTAATTTTTTTCCAGTGTACATGGCACACTCAGTGGCAACTTGATTTGCAGACACAAATCTGTTCATGTTAGTGATAGGCCAACTTCAAAAGCATCTCTGCATTGATTTGGATAAGAAACCAATAGTTTATAAGCTATTTCAAACTTATCTGAACTTTTCTGGTCTAGAAACTTATTTCAAGCAACCAGTGTTTTATATACTATATATTAATTGTGTGCATGTCCAAAGAGGACAGAACGTGCTGTAATTCAAACATAGATATAACTTAGAGGGTTTATTTTTATTGTTTTCCAATAACATATAACTAAACCTCATGGCTACATCTACACTGTAGGCTGCTTGCACAAGAACGGCTGTTCTTGTGCAAAAAGTTGCTGAGCGTCCACCTGACAAGCCTGTTCTTGCGCAAAAAACTTTACAGTAGATCGCCAGAAGACAGAGCTTTTTGTGCATGAGGAATAAGCCTTTTTGTGCAAGAGCTCTTGTGCAAAAAGGCTAGTGTGGACGGGAACAGGGGTTTCTTCCGCAAGAAACCCCTATGGCTAAAATGGCCATCAGAGCTTTCTTGTGCAAGAGAGCATCCACACTGCCATGGATGCTCTTGCGCAAAAGCACATCTCTTGCACAAAAGCATATGGTAGTGTGGACGTGCTCTTGCACAAGAAGCCTGCAGTATAGACATAGCCCCCTCATTTAGTGTTGCTTTTGCTGGTAATGCATTACTGAGAAGATAGAGTTGCACTGTACCTAGTAAAGTGCATGCCACTGTCTCATGAAACTTACAGCCTGAGCAGAGAGAAGCTAAGCACCTAGAATTAAAACTTAAATTTCAGGTGCAAATCTGAGTATTTGACCTCTGAATACTTGATTACAGGTTTCAAATGTACAGCTGCATCTGAATGACAAGCATAGTTAAAGGGTGTTGGATCACATTTCTGAAAGGGAGACCACCATCTCAGGAAGAAAAGTTTTGACCCAATTTTTCAGTTTTTGGTTCCCAAAAAAACCAAAAAATTGGGTTGTGGGAGGTTGTTTTGGTACAAAATCATGGCAAATTGTCCAAAATGGACACGCCCTAAGGAAATTTCTGTTTGGATGAAAAAGCCTTGTTATTTAGTCAAAAAAAAGTCTTGAACAAAACATTTCAACCAGCTCTGGTAGACACACTCATTTTAGGCTTTTTTGTTTTGTTTCCTTTCTTAAATATGGCCTTTTGTGGTGTTTGTTTTGGGGGAGGGGAGAAAGTTTCCCCAGGAGAGGAAAACACTGGAAGCAAAAAGAAAGGACTAGACGGATAACTTCTGTCTTCTGCAAGGCTGAAATACTTTCTGGCAATCATCAGTTCATAGCATTTGCTCTCCCTTCATGACATTTTGCTTAGGTACTAAATCACTAGCACTCAAAACACAAAAATGTAATGCTGAGCCTCAGCAGCGTATTAAACCTTGTTCCTCCAGGATAGTTCTGAACTTGTTTTATAAGTTACATTCTCTGGAGCAAAGCCTGGGAAGCGTTCCTTTATCAAGCAAATGTTTCCAAAACCACACTGGAGGCGGTTTGATTCTCCCCTGGTTTTGAAACCAACTACAGCTCAGTTCTGCCATATATTACATCGGTGCCTCTCCTGGTGAGCCTAATGGGGTGTTCTGTGGAGGTGATAGAAGGTGCCCTGTTTGTCAGACTGCATTCTCCCAAAAGCTTTGCCCCATCCACGTGGCCAAAACTGCTCCTCTGTAGGTCTCCAAAGAAAGACCATGGACTTGTGTAACTGCCTCTTGTCACTTTAATTGTTTCTTTTAATGAATGAGAGCAACAGCTCGCTTGTAACTAGCACATTTGAACTTGCAGTGTTCTGGCAGCCGACAGAGCTTCACAGCAGCAGAGCGGATTCCTGCTTCACATGTGTTCTAGCAGTTGGGCTGTATGAAAGCCCGGTGCCATTCTTTGAAGTGTAATCTTTCTTTCCGGAATGGGCCCCTTTGAAGATGAGATATTTGTAACATGGGATAGCACAAGATGCTTCTCCTGCCCCATACAGTGGCTTCATTAAAGCAGCAATAAGACCATGGGGGTGAGGACTGTAACAGACAGACATGTCCCTGCCCATGCTCTACCTCCTCCTGCCTGCTGTTCCCATGCTAGAAGCTGGGGTAGGCAGGACTGGGAGGGCGTGGTGCACGTCCTCCCGGCACTGGGGCAACTCCAGTCATGCTGCCCCCTACCCAGCACTAGGGCTTGTGGCTCGGTGGGAGTGCCTTCAAGGCTAGGGGGACATGCTGGTAAGGGGTCAGGCTGGGTGATGCAGCCCAGGAGGCTGGGGCCATATTGCCTGGCTCTCTGGGGACTGGAGAGACTGGGGCCGTGCTGCCGGCACTCCGGGTCCAGAGGATCCTGGAGCCATGCTGCCCAGCTCTCCAGCACTCTGAGGCCAGCGGAGCTAGGGTCATGCTGCCTGTCCACCCACTGTTTTGAGGCTAGGAGACATGGAAGCACTAGTGTAGGGCAGGGACCAGCAGCCATAGTGGAGGGGGGGG